TAAAAATTTTAAACTCTAATAATAAAGAGTGTAGAATATGATCTCAGTTGATACTAACAGAAAGCTATCCCATGCTTATCAGGGCCGAATTATTCTTATAACAATATCAATTCCCTCCTTTAAGCAATCAATAAATTAAGTGAAAACCAACCAAAATTCCAGCTGGATTTTTTTTGAGGGGCTTGATAAACTTATTCTATAATTTTAAGATGTACTGTAATAAATAAAAAAGAAAACTATAAAGTGTAAATACAAGAACACACAATGAGATAAATGAAATAAAATAGAATTCAAAGTCAAGCCCATATCTGAAGTATTTCTATTTAAAGAAAAGACATTGAGAATAAAGTTAAATGGCAGGTTAGGAGAAGAAAATTTCTATTGAGTAAAACTGATAATACCTAGAATTGTACATATAAAATATATAAAGAACTTCTGGCAATCAGCATGAAAAACACAGCAACCCCAGTAGATTAACTGGCAAAGAAATGAAGGGCATTTTAGAGAAGAGGAAATCTAGGAGGTTAAGAAACATATGAAGAGATGCCCAAATTTATCAGCATTAGTAATATGAAATAAAACCATGATGAAATAGCACTACATCTATTAGTGTGGCAAAAATTAAAAAGCTGATGATACCAAGTTTGGTGGCAAAACAGAAACATACAAAGCCTCACAAACTGCTGGTGAGAGTCCAGGTTGTATTTGGTTAACTTAAATATAGGCATATCCTTTGACCTAGTAATCGTACCTCTGGGCATATAATTCCAAGGAAATGTTCACATGCCTTTGTAAAAGGATACATATCGGAATGTTTATTGATGCTTTGTTTGTGGAGGGAGAGGTTGGAGACAATCTGGTTAAGTATGATGCAGTGCTGCATTCCACTGAATACTTTCCAGTCATTTGGAATGACAGATGGAATGTGTACAATAGCAATGTGAATGGATCTTACAACATAGTTCTGAGTTGAAAAGGAAGAAACACTATGAGCTCTGTATTATAGCACCACTTACATGAATTAAAAATCCCCATGCACGAAAGAATACACGTTTTGTAAGAACAGGTACAAATGTCTACAGAAAAAAAGGATAGATGTTGACCAGATGAAAATAGTTGCTTTGATTGGAATGGTGGGTGTCTGATGGAGGTAAAGGAAGTCAGAAAAAAGAATAGGCATGGAAGATAGGAAAGTGACAGGAAAGTGAACGGATGGATAACACAATGAATGAATAAATAAATAAAAGAAGGACCTTTCATGGACTAATGATGATAAAGTGCCATGGATGAAGAGGATGCTCAAAGTCCAGATGAAAATGGAAAAATAATCTAGTATAGACGATGGTGCATAATAAGCACTTAGTAAATACTTGTTGAATGAAGAAATGCAGTCTGTGGTGAATCATTTTTGCAAAGCTAAGAGGCTCTTTACTGAATTATTTTAGGAGCTTTAACTTTGGCGTATCAATTTGTTAAAAAAATGTGAGCCCATGTATTTAGAGACATCTGGATGGCATTAACAGAATTACAGAATTTTTTCTCTTCCACTTCTTGAGGTATTACATAAACATGGACACCTTGTCCTTTTCCAAACTATGCCACGTAGTTTAACTTTAATTCTGACTTACAGAAAATGTCTTCCCAGCAAACATTTGCCATTTTGATCAAGTCTTGATTTCCAAATACCTGCCTATACATGGTCATTGATATCCACTTTGATACATCTAATTTCTTTGCTGGAAGCACTGAACTAGATTCTGCTTCTGAGCTTTGAGTCTGTCAGCCATCAGTTCAGTTCAGTCGCTCAGTGGTGTCCGAATCTTTGCGACCCTATGGACTGCAACATGCCAGGCTTCCCTATCCATCACCAACTCCTGGAGCTCATTCACACTCATGTCCATCGAGTCAGTGAGGCAATCCAATCATCTCATCCTCTGTCGTCCCCTTCTCCTCCCACCTTCAATCTTTCCCAGCATCAGGGTCTTTTTCAACGAGTCAGCTCTTTGCATCAGGTGGCCAAAGTATTGGAGTTTCAGCTTCAACATCAGTCCTTCCAATGAACACTCAGGACTGATCTCCTTTAGGATGGACTGGTTGGATCTCCTTGCAGTCCAAGGGACTCTCAAGAGTCTTCTCCAACACCACAGTTCAAAAGCATCAATTCTTTGGCACTTAGCTTTCTTTATAGTCCAACTGTCACATCCATACAGGACTACTGGAAAAACCATAGTTTTGACTAGACGGACCTTTAAAACTGGACATGACAGTGGACTTGCCTACTAATATTTTTTTCATCTACCACTGTATGAGATTTGATTTCTTAGAGCATCTTTGGGTTTGTTTTCTCCCTCCCCTCTTGCCAGAGGATAAGGATTTATCCCAGGGGATATAAACTTCTATTGATCTGCTCCAGGTTTTCATATTAGTGATCATATATTTCTACTAATAAGCATAATTCATATTCAGCTTTCACTGATTTAAACTTAATAAAGTGTAACTATTTAAAGCTCCAGTTCTAGACAAAACTTGTGTCTTACACCTAGCTTTTTACCTAATAGCCCTGTGTATGCTCATTTGCTCAGTCATGTCCGACTCTTTGAGGTCCCATGGACTGTAGCCTGCCAGGCTCCTCTGTCCATGGCATTTCCCAGGTAAGAATATTAGAGAAGGCTGTCCATTTCCTACTGCAGGGGATCTTCCCCACCCAGGGATTGAGTCCACATCTTTTGTCTCTCCTGCATTGGCAGGAGGATTCTTTACCACTAGCGCCACCTGGAAAGCCCCAATAGCCCTTTGATACTGGGCAAGTTAAATTTCCTAAGCATTTGTTTGTTCTGAACGACATGGGTAGAAGTTTTCTCAAAGAGTTGTGGTGACGAGATAATGTAGCTAAGGCTCCACACAGAGCTTGGTGCATAAGTAGTTACTATTACTTCATGGAAGTCATTGTGCTAGGCCTGTCAGGAGAGACAAAGATGAATCAAGAAATGTGCCTAACTTCATGAAACTTGGAGAGAATGAAACAGATGCCCAAACTATAGAGCAATACGAGAGAGGACAAGTGAGGTCATGTTCCTCCTAAGAGACATCCAGAGAACTGCTTCTTCACTTTATAAACAAGGATTACTTGACTTGATCAAGGGGATGCAGTCAGTGAGTGCCAGAGCCTTGAAGGGAACCCATGTCTCTTCTGGCGGAGCCAGGCCTGATGGTTGTGTCCCTGTTTCTGTGGACATTGCTCATGGTGGCCCAAGGCCTTGTGGCACTCCTGCCTGCCAGGCCACTGACTGTGGACCTCCGTGTCCTAAAGTCCAGAGGCTTTGTGGTGAGGGCTCATAACTCAGTCAGGAGATAGACTTTGCTGTTTTTTGAGTGAGTCACTTATGGGAATAACATGTCTTCTCAAGGCTTGCCCTCAAATCAATAACCCATTAGAGACTAATTCATTATATTCATCATTTCCTTTGACTGAAATTTTATTGAGAGATAGATGTGCTCCAGGTTCTTTGCTGGCACTGGGAAGCCAAAGATAAAAACCTCCTGGTCACATAACAACTTACTGCCATGTGACGAAGAAAGAGCATGCTCCAGGGCCTGAGAAAAGAGAGACACATGTTTTCTGAACCAGGAGGTTTGGTGGGTTAGAACATTTTTCACCAGAAAAGGTACTGTTTGAGCTGGATCCTGAAAAAGGAGGTGATTTTCAGGTGGAGAACTGGAGAAGAGGAACCGAGGGAGAAAGGACGGTAGCGTCAAAGACGGAGCTGCACGGGGACAGAGGTGCTTAGAAGACCCCTGGGGGCCAGTGGTGGGGGCAGGCGCAGTGAGCCATGAGCCGGGAGAGGCCAACAAGGATTAGATCGCCAGGGGCCGTCTATGCCTCCAGCTTTGTGGTTGAAGGTGGCAGGTGAAGAAGGCTTTTTAAGCTGGAGAATGGCATGATTCAGTCTAGGTTGAGTGAGAGGGTTTTGAGTCAGTGTGGAAGGAAGAGCAAGACCCTAGACCTGCCCGCGGGGGCTCTACTCAGGGGGTCTTGAACCCAAAGGGATGGGCTAATCATGGCCTGAGCATGTGAACTTGGGAACCTAACGGCAGACAACAACGAACTGGGAAGGAGCCTGCGGCCTGACACAGCGAACACTATCCGAGGGTGTACCCCACTGCTTTTCCGTCCTGAGGCTTCTCGCTAGCAGGTGGTGCAGGCTGGGAGGGAGACTCCCTTCACAGGTCCTCAGCAAGCTCTCTTAGAGTAACCAGCTCCAGACAAAGAGCCTCGCAGCCATCTTCCTTCTGCCTTGAGTGAGCGGGCCTCTTTCTCCATGGGCTCCTGTGGACCAGCAAGGCTGATGTTCTCCCGATTTCAGCGTGACTAGGCCTGGCCACTTTGGTGGTGGTTGGGGAGGCAAGGGAAGGGGCTAACGTGGTTCAAAATGGAATACACAGAAAAGCATTATTAAAAGAATGAGGAGGTTGTTTAGTGAGGCTTGAAGTGTCTACAGGTGTTTCCTCCTATGTTGAGAACCCGTGTCCCCTGGGAATCGCATTTCCCGTCGAGCAGGGCCCAGGGCGGACGGAGTGCTGCCGACACCCGGGTGTGGTGGAGAGGCCTGAATGGGCGCCACAGAAAACCCGGAGCTTTCCAGGGGGTCTCAGGGACCCTCGCGGATGTGGAGTGGGGGATACGGCTGGACACACCTGCTCACGGAGTGCACACTCACACACACTTGCCCATGCCCCGCGCACCCCGGCCCACTCTGCGGGCCTCGTCCTGGTGCCCACGGCCTCCCGGGCCGGGCCGTCGTGCAGATGCGGCCGCTGGGCCGCGAGCGAGCGTGACGGGGTGGCCGCCGGCGGGCCCGCGAGGGCGCGCGGGCGGGTGAGGGCGCCCCACCGGCAAAGAGGTGCAGCGGCACCCGGGTGGGAGGATGTGATGACGCGGTGCCCCCGCAGCGGGAACTCGGCCTTTAAAAGCCGAGGAAGCAGCCTCCGAGCAGGCGGTGGCTCCACTGGAGGCAAGCACACCCGGGTCTCACATTAAAGAAGCCAAACTGTCTGCTTCAAAGAGAAAAGGCAACATCCTGTCGCAGGCCATGCTCTGGCAGAAACGTAAGTGGTTTGGCCCGTGGCTGCCGGAGCCGTGTCAGCGAGGGAGGGCCGGGGCTCCAGCAGGCAGCCTGAGCCGGGAGGTGCCGGGGGTGACAGGCAGTGGGGTCCCGGTCCCCAGCCAGGGCGGCAGAAGGGCGAGGTGGGCGAGATGGAGCCCAGTGGAGAAACCGACCTGTCAGAGGTGATGCTGATTTTCCAGGTTGGAGGGGAACGAACGAGTGTTCCAAGGTGGGACAGCTCATCCTCTCTCCCACACGAATCACTGTGGTGAACAAAGGGCAGCTGATGATTCACCGAACAAAATTTGGAGGGGAAGGCAGTGGAGAGATTTCCCTGAGTGGCCTTACTTTTATAAACAGCTACTCTTCAGCCTGTGGTTCAGTTCCGTGGGCCCGTTCCTCTCTGGGTTACTGAGCTTTCTGCCAAAGTCACAATGTGTCGCTGACTGCATGGGGAGGATGTGGAAACTCGGCTTGTCAAGCCTGTCCTCAACTGCTCTCCTATCTTGCCTCCCGTCATTCTTCGCCTCCTGTGGCAAGGCTCCTGGGTTCCTGCTCAAGGGGGCGTGGGTTTACCTGGAACCCTAGTGTTTATCCCTGGAGTTGGATGGAACATCTGTGAACTTTATTTTCCACATGTGGGACTGAACAGACACTCCTGTTATTAATAATTGAAGTCACACAGAGTTTTTCGGCAGCATTCCTTTCTCAGAAAAACAAAGTCAACTCAATAGCCTCATGAGAGCTGAACCTTCCCGGGGCTCAGTTCTGTACTTCCTTAAGAAAGAGGTACCAAAAAATTGCTCTATCTTTTTAAAGGTGCTTAGGTCTTTAAAATGCCTTTTAATGAATTCAGGTACACCCTACCTCAAGCGAATGTAATACAAAAGAACCTAGGTTTACAGAAAAAGATAAATTAGGGAGCTTTATTTTTTACACAAGATAGTCTATTGGAGCCCTTGAAGTTCTGAAAGCATATCTTCATTTAGACATAGCTTACAGTCACTTTATCAGCAGCTCATTGTTTCCTTTATTTCTTGTGTAAATTTTCCAAGAGTTGAGCTTGTTAATGTGTAATGTGAAGGAATGATTTCAAAGTTTCTGAGATTGTAAAGTCTCATCATTGTTTGATGTTGGCAAGATGCAAGTTTTTTTTTCTTCAATGAAAAGAAGTGAACTCTAATTTGGGTTTAAGAATTATAGGACCCTTCCAAGATACCTAGGGATATTCTAGAATGGATAGTGGCTATTGTTCCCAGAAGAAGGATGGAGCAAGATGCTCCCCTTCGGGGGCAAAGGCAGACGGCCCTGTGGAAATGCATTAATGGTGGCAGGTGGGCAATGATGTCCTTCCTGGGAGCTGCTGAGCCTCCGCGTGCCCTGCCCCTGACCCTTAGAGCTCAGTCTGTGGGTTTTATGTGAGCCCCTGCAGGGACTTCGGCCCTGGTTCCTACCTGCTCAGAGCAAGTCACTTTCTTCTTTTTAACCCTCAGGTTTCTTATATGTAAAATAGGGTCAAAATGATACCCACCGGTTCCACAGAGCTACCCTGAGTAAGCTGAGGCGCCGTTGAGATGATGTTGTCTGCTGTGGTTCTGCTTCAGTGCTTGAGATATGGGTTGCTTCCTTGTGTACATGAGCTGCCCTGTTTCCCGCTCTTGGTTATACACTGCGTTTTTCCTTCTTTAACTTCTCCTAAGAGAGTAACAATTTCTTTTTAAAGCGAATGCCAGAGGCATGTTTCCTGCTCACTCCCTGGAGGTCAGTCAGGTGCAGGAAAACTCCATCCCCAGGGAGACCATGTTGTAAGTTCATCCTCGGAATAGCTGTGGTGAATGATTCTACATGTTCAGATATACATAATCAAAGTTCTTAATAATTGCTCTTTAGCACTTTAAAGGAAATTAGGAGAGGCCCTGGGCACTGGACCCACCCCCTTACCCCAAGTGAGGCCCTTGTCTAGGGCACTGAGGGTACCTGGGTGACTAAACCCTGTGGGAAAACCAGTAAAAACAGGGCAGCATTGTCAGCCCACTTAGAATCACCTGATAGAAGGTCAGAATTTGAAATCAGACACCAAGAGTGCTGAAAAGGCACTTTCTTTTTTCAGAAAACACCCTCGAGGCATGAGCTGAAATGACTGTATTATGGGGTTCTGGAAAGGGTTAAGAAAACATTCACTTTGTAGATGTTGTCTCCTCCCTACTTGGCCCGTGACCCCTGTTTGTAGACTAAATGTGAACATGGGCTTTGGTTCAGATCAGCCCCTAACTGTGGGCACACAGAGGCAGAAATCTTTAAGCCACAACCATGAATCTGCGATTTGCTTGACTGGTCAGTTGGACAAAGAAGTCATGCTCCCTGCAGATCCACTTGCTGCCCCCTCCCCTCAGGTTCAGCACTGGGTCCAGCAGGTCCCATGTGGATGTGAAGGACTGATGTCCACCCAGCAAGAAGCCCTTCTTAAGGCCAACTAGTAACAGTGCTATGGAAAAGCAGGCATGGTGCGGTGAGACAGGCCTGGGTTTGAAAGTCGTCTCAGCAGCTTAATGATTTAACCTTTTCACATTCTTACAAATCTGGAAAATGGGGTTCTAATGCTTGCTTTACAAGTTTTTGTCAGAACAAAAGTAGAGAATAGGGAAAGTGTCATCAAGTCTCCTGAGTATTAATGACAGTGGTACGAGAGCACCATCCCTCCTGGGACACCTCCCGTGGGCCCATCTTGAGTAATTTAGGGTTATGCCAAATCTTTTCCAGTCATTTTCCACACTTTGATTAGAATAGTTAAAAGGCACATCAAAAGATTTTTGATTGACAGGACCTACATATAGTTTTCCAAGGGTCTGAATCAGACAGGGGTCTGCAACTGTGGCCTCAGTGACAAATCAGTCCCACAACCTGTTTTTGTAAATAAAAACTGATTGGGGCATGGCCATGTCTATCATTTACATATTATCGAGGGTTGCTTCTGTTTTTGATACAATGAAACAGTCGAGTAGGTGCCCCAGAGACCATATTGCCTGAAAAAATAAAACATAACTATCTGGCCCTTTAAAACAAGGTTTTCTGACCTCTGGGTTTAAAATGATTTATGTAGTACTTTAGGTGTTCATTTCTCTGGGGGCTCTGAGTTATTGGGAGCTTGCACAATGACAACATCTATGGGAGATAAACTAGCAGTCAATTGATGACATGATTTACACGATGCTGAAAAGTTTGATTTGGTTGACTTCTTAAAGGCAATGGAACTGTGTATAGTAGACTCAACATTACTTGTTAGAAAATGAATGAATCGAATGACTGTTTTTTTTAATTGTTATTCATGTTAGAGAAAGATCTACATTATAACAAAAGAATGGCTTGACTGATTTTCTGTGAACTGACTGCTTGACTTGATGTCCTATAGATTTGGCTTTGATGTTCCTTCATTGTAGTGCTCAAGGAGGCATCTTAAGAACAGGGTATACTTCTTATGAAATTATTATGGCATGAATATTTAATTTCAGATAACTTGAACAGAGATTCACCAAATAGATAAATTCAGGCCTCAAAATTCTCTGTAATATAGAATTCTATACTTTACTCCAAGGTTCCTCTAGATAGCCAACTTTTTGAGAGCAGTTAAAAGTACAGTTAAAGATAAGAAAAACTTGTTATATGCATATAGTATTTGGAACTCTCCTGCATAAATTCAGATGAACTTATAACTAGGAGTAATGTAGGTCTGTGGACTGCTTCTAGTATTTCTATTCTGTTACAACCTTTAGTAATATGCCTAATAAACACCCTTGCTTCTTACCAAGTTTATCTATTGATTCAGTGGTTCTTGTTGATAAAGACAATTAGGATCCACAAGATGGTCAAGAATTCACTGCACAGGAAGAGATTGAATAAGTGACACACATCAGCTAAACATACAGAGTAATCAGTGGAAGAGCTGATGTCTTCAAGGCGGACACTCTACTTCTTCTCTCTCTATTAACTAGATAAGAAAACCAACCTTGTCCCCGCTACAGCTCCAAAGTTCTTGAGTCAGGGGTTTTGAAAGTTCTCTTCTGATTCAAAGCTGCATGTCTGGTCTGTTGTGAGGCACAAAAAAGAATCAAGATTGTCCACACTTATTAGCTAAATACCTGGACATTTAATTCACTTAGAAGTCCTGTAAATTTTTGTGTTTAAACATTCTTATTACAAAGTAAAGATATTAGGTTGTTTTTCACCTTCTAGTTTATTTCTAAAGTAGCTTATTTCCCACTAAATGAAGCTGTCCACCAATTTCTCACTTTGAGCCAAACAACCAAAGTTGGCTAATGGATCATTAGCCAACTAGTGTTGCTAATTGTGATCATTAGCATAATTTTCAGCTTTATGAAATGCTTAACAACATTGTGGTTTTCTCATTTTTGTAGAAAAACTCCTTGCTAAGAGTGGGCCTGCCTGGGATGGAGAGACCACCTCTGAAACCCTCTTGTCCTGGTTGTGTGCTGTTGGTGTTGTTCAGTCATGTCTGACCCTTTGTGACCCCATGGGCTGCAGCATGCCGGGTCTCCCTGTCCCTCACTGGTTGTATGAGGCTATGGCAAAAATTATTCTTGCAGGAAGGAGACTTGGATTCCACTTTCCAGTCTCTGGGTAATTAGGTGTGGGGCCTTAGAGAATGCCACCTAACCACTCTGGGTTGCAAATTGGCCAGCTATAAAATGGGACTTCTCTTTTCCTGGCTGAGGGCAAGGGGACTGAGCTTGACTAGAATCCTTTTCCAAGGCAAGTTGCTGAGTCTTCGTGAGTACTTATTCAGAATAAATACATATTTTCAAAAGAAAAAATGTGTATTTTCAAATGCATCCCAGGTGATTCTAATGTGCAGTCAAGCTGAGAACTACTGACTTGGAGGCTGAAATTGATGGCTTCTGATATCCTTTTGGACATTGCATTACTATGAGTATAGCAGGTTCAATCCTTTTCGTGGAGTAAACATCAGCTATGGGGTGCTGAGTGCTTACCTGGTGTCATGCTGTCTATCAGATATTCTGTTTGATCAGTTAGGATTGCATTTGACTGTTATTGAAATGACCAGAAAATGCATGGATTTGAATAAATAGGAAAGTGGTATACTTTCTCTTACATGGAAGTGGTGCACAGTAGCCTGCAGGGCTATATGGAAGCTGTAAGTGCCAACAGTGTCTCAGGCTACTTCTGTCTTTTTGGTCTGCTGGCCTTGGCATGTGGCCTTCGTCCTCAAATTTGCTTGCTAGTTGCACTGCAGCTCCAGCCATCACATCTGTGTTTCAGACCATGAAGAAGAAGAATAGGGAAAGGCAAAAAGATCATGCTTCTCTATCATGTCCTTTCCCCACCAACACACAACTTCTGCTGACATCTAATGGCCACTCCTATCTTTGAGGGAGAAATAGGGTCATTGTTTAGTTGGGCACGTTGTCAATCCTCCAAAACATAGGGGTCGATAGCAAGGAATGAAAGGGCGGGTGTTGGGTGTGGCAACCGCCAGTCTTTGCCACACTCGAATGTATTATCTCATTTAATCCTTGTAAAAAGTTCATGAGGTGGGTTCTGTTTTAAACTCTATTTCATAGAGGAGAAAGCGAATCTTAAAGATGAGTCAGTAACTTACCCTGAGTGCTGTCTGGCTCACCTGTCCTGTCCCTCTTCCCGAGGCTCTTGCCTCATTCATGGGGCTTGGGAGCCTGCTTTGGGGGAAGCGTGGGCCTTTCACGTTAGGTGAAGGGCCATGTCACACGTGGGGCACCCCCGCTGGCAAACGTCTGTTCATACTTTGAAAACTCATTTTTGGCGCATGTGTTTCAGCTTGAAGGAAATGAAGTCTTTGCTCTCCTGCTATACCTCCTTCGCTGGGCTCTTGGCAGATATTTTAGCTGCAATGGCAGATTCAAAGGGGGAGGGAAGGACCTAGAATCTCCCCAGAATAGCACAGCCCATGTGTTTTCTGGGCAGCTCTGTGTGGAAGCTTGTACTAGGAGCCCAGGCTTTTGTCTTCTCTGTACTTCTTTCATTCTGAACCGCCTGGACTTTGGAAAACTCAGGCTGTCCCTTCACATGTGTGCGTGTGTGTGTGTATAAATAAGGCATGGAAAGCCAGGTTTAGGGGATTATTTTGATTTACAGAGTGACAGCTCTGTTCTTTCTTTCCTCTTAATGGTTTTAAAGCTTAGCCCCTGGGGCAGGCAGATATGAGTTTGAATCCTGGCCTTATGCCTCACTGGTTGTATGATGCTGGTGAGTCTCCCTACCTTGCTCTGCTCCCATTTCCTTATACGCACGGTGGGAATGCAGTTCTTCATAGGCTTGTGGTAAGTGTTTACTACCATGCCTGGCATTAAGTTAACACTCAGTAGCTGTTAGTTACTGTCATTATTTTCCTGTTCTCTCTCACGTTACCTCTAAGGACAAAGTTTATGCAGCTAAGCCTAGATTACAGTCTGTATGATATCTGAGTTCTGCCTTTTTTGTGTGAATTAGCAGGATGCATATTTCCCATCTTGTAACTCATGATGGGGTTAGTGGTCAAGGCTGATGGTGAAGCTGGCCATTCTGTGACCAAACTTGGAACTTGGGCTGCAATTTCCTACCAGCTTCATAAGGGGGAATGGTGGCAGGCTTGTACTGACTGGCAAACTTGTGTTTGTTTTTTAAATTCACAAGATTGGAATTGAGGTGTCATAATCTAGCTTGAAGTCTGCAAGAAATAGCACAAATGATACCGAAAACTGAAACAGCAATGTGCTGCCTCCTTTTCTTAGTAATGGTTTCATTAGTATCACTTTCTGGGAAGAGCAGGTAGCCAAAGAATTACAGACCAGAATCATATTCAGACCAGGTGTTGGGACCAGAAAGGATCTGACCATGCTTAAGAAAAGCTGAATTCCTTTTTGATTCTCTATCAAGAATCATACATTTAATTGGAAGAGGAGTACAAGGATTGATAAGACTTCCAGGACTGAGGAATGCTGGGAAGATAGTGAAGTGAAGGGAAAGGGAGGCAAGAGAGTTGAAGATAGAAGCAAGTTTTAATGCTGGAAGAAACCAGTACCAACTCTAGAAAGAAGGGGATAGAAGGAAAATCAACCATCCATTGATCATCCCATGCAAGCCTACATCCATCCAATAATGGGATTGTTTCTAGCTAGAGGAATCAACCAATGAAACAAGTCATCTTCAGCAGGAGGGAGAGGAGAATAGAATCAGGGAAGGTGTCGTGGAGCATGTAGATGGTTTTGGATGTGCCTCCTCCAGAATAAATGATGATTATAGACTTCTTGCTTAGATTCTGGGGACAGAAGAGGCAGCTTAGAACATAAAATACTAGCATTGGGAAGGAAACCCAAGGCTCTGTATGCTGGTGTCTAAAACATTTTTGTCACCAACCCCTTTATTCCAACCAAAATCACTGCAGAACTCTGATACAACAATAAACATGGAGCAGTTTGAGGAGGATCTTGGAGCTCTGATTGCTCCTTCACCCCCAGACTCCCCCACTTTCTTCCCTTTCTTGGCAAAAATTCACTTTATAGACACCTTTACTCTATTCCAGAGTTTTAGATCACAGCCTGACAATTCTGACCTGGACCAGTCCTCTCCTCTTAGCAAGAACCCTGATAGCTGGTGTCAGGTCCTTGGTTTAAATACTTCCAGGTTAAGGACCTCACTCCTAGAGAAAAGTGAGTCACTGTAGAACTTGTTGTATTGGTCTCCATGAAGCTCTGAAGCTATGAAAAGTCATGTTTTCAGTGTCCGTAGCTACCTTGTGAATAAGGAAGGGGGTACATTCCTCAAAGTTTGACCAAGTGATGCCTTTCCCAAGCTTGTTGTTCTAACTTCTTCAGCATCCTTCACAAGGGATTTCCCCCACATCATAAATTTACCAGTTAGTAAACCAGAGACTTAAAACAAAAGCTCATTTTGACTGGCAGTTACATTCACATCATGTGTCAATTACTAGGGCTACCTTCACTCATGTAGGCTGTACCCAGGGCCACCATAAGCCTTATATCTTGGACAGTTGGGTCTGTCCCAACTGTATACCCAGCTTTGGGTATACCAGCTATACCCAAATGTATAGCTGATGCTGGGTCTAAAGAGTCCTTCCTGCAAGGAAATGGTCCCCACCTGAAGGTCTCAGGAAAATTTTGTTTTTTTTTGTAGGAATCCCTTTGGTCTTAGAAATCCCAAAATAGATATTGCTTAAGTCAAGGAACAAACAAGTGAATGTTCCCTCCTCCAGCTCCTAACTGTAGGTTTTTCCTGTTCTAGATTATACTGGCAATTCTAGATTCAGGCTTTGGGTCTCAGTCTTAAAGAGGGAAGATGTACCTGTCTCTTCTGCTCCATCTCCTCACTCTGGTCCTGCCTTGCTATAGAATTTGGGTGAGAAGCCTGGGTTGGGTCACCCCTGGCTGTCAGTCTAGTTCCTTCTCCTGTTTTGATCCCTGTTGCTCTAGATAGAGCTGAGGCAGTGGTCAGTATGTCAGCCAGAAGTTTGTCTTGTTCTAATCGGTGATAAAGCTCCCCTTTCTGTTCACTAAAGAGCCCTCCCTCATATGCTTCCATGTTGCCATCCCACATGTGAAATGTGCTCCTAGGCTTCTAGCCCTTTAAGGATGTATCTGTGACAATGGCCTCAGTCATGGCTGCATCCCCGTCCTTTCGGAGATACATGTAGGTTACTCTGTCTGCCACTCAAAAATCTTCAAGGTGCTCCTTCCTGGAGTAGTCCTTAAAAACTAAAATACGCCACAAATTTAATCCTCTGGTGGCTTTGGAATTAAAAAAGATCTTCTACTCAGCTCCTGATATCTTTACAAGAGGTCAGTGCCAGGATTTTCTTGGCTCTTCTCTATTTAAACATGCTCTGTTTGCATGTGAGGTCTTTGATCAATTTCTCTGCAGCATCATTGCCCTCCCTGTCTCCTGAACCGGGCCATCCTGCTGCTGGGGACATCAGGCCCAAGAATCTGAGGGATGACTTCCAGGAATACAATGAAGGCAGGTTGAGAAGTCCCTGGGTATATCGAGGATAGAGACATTCAGTATTAGGATGCAGCTGGATGGGGGCACGTCAGGGTCACCGTACCAAAGCTCCTCTTCTGATGAGTAATGGGCCACAGATTTTTGGCTGAGAACAAAGGAGAAATAGCCATTTCTTGAAAACCTATTACATACTAGGTGTTTGGTTAATTTCATACAGTCCTCATGATATTCCCATGAGATGGAGATCATTATTTTCATGCCGCAAATGGAGAAATGAGGCACCCACAGTTTACATTATTTGTCAAGGGTCACACAGTGATAAGTAAGCTATGTAGTAGACATTCCAAACTAGATCTGCTTGAGTTCCAAATAACACCACACCACTTTTCAGTGCCAAGGATTTTAGGGTTGCATTAGATGCTTCTTCCCTTCCTAATTGATATGAGTCCGTCGTTAGAAGGAGGTGGTCTCTGACTTCACTGAGGGTTGTTGTAGGCTGACTCAAAAGGCTCCCTGCAGATAGGAGTCAGAAAATTAGATCTGAGACTCTCTGGAACTCCTGAAGCCAGCTGATTTCCATCTTGGAATCTGAGTTTCTAGGTCTGGGTCTTCCCCTAGGGGACTGATCTGCCAGGACAGGATAAGTAAAACATTTTTGGGGTTCGTCCAGGGTCGCTAGGCTGAGGAAGGGTCCTGAATGTCTGGGGCTACTTTGTTCTATCTGGGGTCAGGCTTCCATGCATGGTGTGGGCTGAGCCCAACCCCAGAACTGTCTCATTGCACTGGAGACAGAACAGTTATGCTCAGACACTCTCCTCTTCATACAGCCCCTGGAGACAGGGGCCCCCAACTTGCTGCTCGTTCAAGCCTGACTGAACCAACTTGAGGTGAAAATGAGCCAAACAAGCCCAGAACACTTCAACTGTGAGGCCGATGCAGCTCTGTCCCAGTTTGTGATTCTAGGTTTGCTTCTGCTATGATCTGATTAAGTCTACATACTCTACCGGCCTAGACGGTAAGCTCCATGATGGCAGGGACGTGGTTTGCTCTGCCCTGTTTAAAGAGCGCTCTGCTAGGGGTCTCCTTGGAACCCCGAGACACGGTATGTGAGATGGGAGCCCTTTCTGCTCTGGTGACCCCAGTTTCTGTAAAAGGCGGGCAGATGCAGCTGGTTTCTCAGGTGAACCTATCCGCTGTCATTTCAGTCAAAAATACCAAAAATAAAACTTTGCGGGGAATTGTGTGGGTCTCAGTTCTCGCCACTCCTCATGTGAGCAGACTGCCGGTAAGCTTCTCATGGACTCCGCTCTCCCTCCTCAGCTGGGAGATGTCGTTTCTTGCGGGAATTGGCAGTCGAGGGAGTGGTGCAGGCCCAGACTCCCAGCCTGGAGGGAGGAAGGTTAGAACTGAGCAGGGTACCATTTGACACTGACCTCCAGTGTTGCCCAGAGGAATAAATGAGATTTGCCCTGGTCTGGGGAGGCAGAATGTGAGGCAGAAGTGGACTGCACTTGGAATCAGAGGTCCTGGGTTTAGTTGATGACACTGCTGTTTACAAGTGCAGTCCCTGGGCAAGTCACTGAATGTCTCTGAGCATCACTTTCCTCATCCGTGAAAAGGAGGGTGAGAGGAAGACTTCTTTGTCTATTTCAGAAGTTGTGGTGAAAGCATTTGTGTCAAATTCTCTGTGAGCCACAGGACATCATGCAAAGGTGAGAGTAGTGATTTTTGAGCTCTTGGGAGTTAAGATTGTAAGCAGGAAACACACAGACCTTTGGAAGTCCTGCAGTCAACATACCCGAGTCTCCAAAAGCAGAGGCCTCACACTGACACTGTCTCTGGGAGTTGGGAGCAGAATCCAAGAGCCTTCCATGCTCTACTTGTTCTGCAGGAGGATTGGAGGAGAGTGGACGGCTGGGTGAGCGATGCTGAGTGCTCTTGGGGAGGGACACCTCAGCAGTAGAGCCTTTGAGGAGAAAGTCAGAAGGTTCTGATACTAGAGGTCACATGGCTAACTCCACCCAAGGTCATGGGTGGCTCATCTAGAACTTTTGGGACAATTCAGGGAATTCTGAGGCTGCAGAGTGGAATGTTCAGACAGTAGCTTGGTGAATGAGAAGGGGCTCTGGGTTAAAGGGCTCTCTACTTAAGCTTAACATAATTCAGGTGTGGGTGTGCTAAGTCATTTCAATCGTGTCTTAACTCTGCGACGCCATGGACTGTAGCCCGCCAGCCTCCTCTGTCTATGGGATTCTCCAGGCAAGAGTACTGAAGTGGGTTGCCATGCTCTCCTCCAGGGGATCCTCTCGACCCAGGGACTGAACCTGTGTCCCTTAAGTCTCCTGCATTGGCAGGCAGGTTCTTTACCACTAGCACCACCTGGGAATTTGGGAGGGGTCTAATCACCCTGGGTGTGTCCATTCAGTGCCAAATTTAGATTCCTTTAAATAGAGATTACTTGGCCTCTAGACCCCTTTGATCTGGGACTCTACAGTCATCCTAAGTGTACCTTAGGAGCATCCTTGGCTCCTTTTATCAGGGTGTTTCCTTTGGGTCTTTTAGGCCTGGCCGGGTCAGGGGAAGTCCTAAGTGACCGTGGACCTCCTTATGCGTTCTCAATTACCTGCTTATGGTTGCTCAGTGAGCTCTGTGGGGGCTGATGGGAATATGCCTCTTAGAATGGGGACACAGGAGGTTTTGGGGGGATGGGAATACCAACCGTTCCCTTCCCTTCTGCAACTGGACCAGAGAACATGGGCTCAGCTTCCATATTTGAGATCTCCTGATGGAGCACCCTAGTCTACACATGAAGACTCACTCCTTTTTGGCTGACCAACAGCCTTCAAGCAACATCAAATCCTAATTCAACTGAGGGTTCACTGTCCTGCATCTTGTGTACACCTTTAAAGCCACCTTTGTTGTCCATCTGTCTGTTTCTCCTTGGCCCTGATATGTAGATTGCTAAAGTATGTGAGTGACATGTTGCTAATTCCTGGCTGCAAGGTCTTTCTCAGTCCAGACATTAGTGAATAGAAAACCTACATTTACATGCATGTGGGATCTCTTTGTTGGCCGATGTTAAAAAAAAAAAAAGTAAACTACAATCTAGTGTAAACTGGGTGGGAAAACCATTCTATAGCGTGTCAAGTCCAATCTTTGGCCAAAGCCCAAGTTCTTTCTTCCAGTTCGGAAAAAAAATCAGCCATTGTCTGTGAATGCAAAGAACAAATTTAAAAATATGACTCAGACCTTCACCAGCAACACTTGTAGTGTTCGGTTAAGGAGATGAATAATCCTTTAGCTGAATTGAGTTAAGCTTTCCCGGGAGTCCTCAACTATCTTAGGTCAAGAACACAAATAAGCTTCTTTTCATTAAAGTGAAAAGTGTCAGCAACTTTTAAGACTTTGTTTTTAGTTAGAAGCTAGGCTAGCCCTAGGCTTTGAATGCCTTGAATGCCTGTTGTTCAATTATTTGGTTTTGGTTTTGATATAAAGGAAAAAATTATTGTATTTCTCCTTAGTGGGTCTTTTTTTAGTTTTTGAAATATTACTAAAGGTTCATCAGCAAAAGAGAGTAATATGTACTGTGGTTATTTTGGAGTGACCAATACTGGGTTATGTGTCGTCCTGGGCCAGAAAAGTTTTGTCTTTCAAAATGGTCTCATGTGGCTGCATCCTCGAGTTTCAACCAGTCAGTTGTAAATGGGAAGCACTGTCAACGAGAGATTGTCAAGATGGGTGGGATGGGTTCCCCTTCCTGGTCCCCTGATGATGGAAGTGTAGGCTCACCCTGAATCCCTTACGGCAGCGGTCCCGACTGGGGTTCAGCGCATGGCCTGGCCCCGCTGGCTCATGGGAGATCTGTGACCGGACAATGGCTGGGAGAAGAACATTCTTTCAAGAATATCTTGGGGCTGTTCTAGGTACCTTCTGCCTGAAGAGGGCTCTCTTAAAACTGCCCCGAGGAGATGCCTGGGTGTTGGCTTCACTGGGACCTACCTTTTTAGTTGTAGCTTTCTTACTGTGGTGTGAACATGGTTTGCATGGGGTCATTAAATAAACAAGTGCTGGCGATTTTGCATGTTTCCTTGGTGATGTTTATTATACCTCATCAAGGAATGAGGGCCATGTTTATTTAAATCAGCAGAATCCTATGTTCCCGAAGCTTGGTGCAAAGCAAGCCCGGGCCCACATGCAGCCAGAGTGCTCTCTCAGGTGACCCTTGGGCTCAACCCTGTCATGGTCTGTGCTTTCCAGTGGAACAGCAGCTGCAGGACTCTTATTTTTGTGATGTGGAGCATGTCCGGGTGTGTGGCAGGGGGAACTGAAATAGCCTCTGCTGACTTTTTATACCTTCAGATTTTTTCGTTGCTCATTTTGGAAAAGGGAAGCCCTCAGTGGGGCCAAATTCATAGGTTTTTCTGTAAATGAGTTTTGTTTTTCTCCCAAACAACATTGCCGACTGACTTGCAGTGGTGGAAAGATAATGTGGATGAACTTCTCAGACTAAAACTGGAGAGTCCCCATGAGAGTCGAGAGGCTTGTGTTTAGGTGGAAAGAGTTTTCTCAGTGCTGGACACGTGGATACCCCCAAGAGACGTAAAGGGTCTTCAAACCACAGGATAAATGGTGAGAAATTCTACTTAGGTTTTGAGAGAGTGTTACCTGTACCTGCAATTCGACTGGGGGCTGTGAAAATCTCTGGTCAGCTCTGCTTTGGGAAATTGGACTTTCATCTCTGCTTGTGTGTTATTTTGATCTCCAGTTTTGTGTTCCTCGGCTCTTCCTTTTTTTAGTATTATTATCTGAGGAAATTATTTTGATAATCTTCAAATTTTCTTTAGTTATTTTATTGAGGGACCCAGAAGACCCAAGGCAAAGCAATCATGACTCCAGACAAACTTATTTTCCTCTTCCAAATTTCTGTTTGTGGGCTCATTTCTCATGCTAGTGGCAGTAGGGAGTCCAGAGTTTACTGTGGAATTATAGATGGTTATTGCTGCTTCACAAAGATTGGTGTGAAAGATGCCAACTGCAGGTTTTCCACCTTGCAAATACACTTGGGCCATTGGGGTCCTGTGGGAATTGTGGGCCAGGAGGTCCTTGGGAGCTGTGGGAGTTTCATGACTGCAGTAGGAAGAGGTGGGGACCTCGAAACTTCTCTCCAGATGGTGGTTGTTCCAGGGCACACCTGTTGACACTGTGGGTTCCGAGGAAGTCCAGACCTCAGAGTGTGATGACCTCTGCTCACAGCAGCTCCCCAAGCCCTCTTTGTTCATTGATTCAAAACCAACAGGAGGCAGGAAGTTCTCACTTGCCAGGAAGCAGGAAGTGCCCAGGTGGCTGCTTTGCAGCCTGGCGGTCCCCGTGTCCACTTCCGGGGAGGCAGTGGGGTCCGGAGTCCCCCTGGCCCTTCCCCAGAAGTGTATCAGCAGATCAGTGGGGGCTGAACTGTACACCTCTCTGAGGTGTGTGCATGGGGGATCACGCCTTTCTTGTGCCCCAGCTGAAGGAAGAGTGTGACCACCATGCTCAGACCCCCAAATAAGTCTATCCCTCAAGTTTCTCCTGAGTGCACAAGGCCTCAGGCCGTACGGTCTGCCTAAGAATAGCTAGAAACTCAACCAGAGACCAGTGTAGGTTGAGTGATATGGGCGTGAACCAATCTGCTGGAGCTGTGGGGAACCCTGAGAATGGGAGAGCAGAATACACGAGGGCAGGCCCCCCAACCCCCACCGTGTCAGGCCACACCTGGGGCCTGCGGTCACTGCTGGCATCTTCATAACGGGAAGTGGCAGAACTTGTGCTGGAGGGATGCGGACAGAGGGAAGGTTAGAGGGCTTCAAACACGTCATTAAGAAGTAGCTGAAGGAAACAGCATGGGAATCACTCTTAATCAGTTGTAGAGGTCGTCACTAACTACAGACAGAAACAAACTAGCTCTGTCCAGAGGGGACAAACATGAACAATATTCCTATTTTACTACATCCTGAAGCACTTCAGAGAGAGGTTAAAATTCATGAGCCCTGTCCTCAGTGAGTTGTTGATTACTGAGAAGCACAAAGGCAATCAGAACTTGGGTTCACAGTGGCTTTTTATGGCCGTCTTAACACCAGGCTCTTTGCAAATCTAGGTTTAATTTTTATTTATACACTGATGCTTGATACTATGGGAGGAAATCACAATCAACATATGGTAATTCAAAGGTTAATAATAAAATTTGGCTATTTTAAAAAAAATCACCAGCCAGTGCCTGCTGCTATCTGTATTATTTTCCCCACTTCTACCGTGTTAATTTAGTTTGCATTAAATTATTCTAATGTTCTCACTCTTTCTTGGAATCCAAAAAAAGAAATAGCTGAAGGAATGGAATGTTTGTTCCAACTCTATAGGGCATCTGGGATCTGTCTTCAGTTGCTGGGAGGGGACCCTGCTACAAACATCAATGATGATATTAGCTCACATTTATTTAATGCTTTCTCAGTGTAAGCTCTATTCTAAGCATTTACGTGTAATTTTCAAATTACCTTACCAAATACAAACCATTGTGATCCTCATTCTGTCCATGAGAAAGCTTTAAATGGATCATGAATTGTGAGTTTCATTAAAGGTAACACAAAGGAAAATGCTGCTTGTCACCATGAGGCAGGTCAAGTTGGAGCAAGAGCTTTCTGACATTAGCACTCTCTAGAGGAAAGTGGATGTGGGTGGGGAAGAGGAAGGACAATAACATGTGTTGAATGTTGACCACATGGTGGACATGGCTTTGGAAGCTTCCTATGTATTGTTTCAGTTAATCCTCACAAGAACCATGTAAGACAGGAACTATTAGCCCCATTCTACAGATGAGGAAATTGAGGCTCGGTATGTAAATCAACTGAGACCTTTCCACCTGAAACTAATAGTCCAGGTATCTTAGGCTCTAAAGTCCATTGTCACTGCTGCTTGAACAAAGGTGATGGTGCACAGGGGTCCCAGAGCGCAGGTCCCAGGCTGGCTTTCTCTGCTATACACCTGCTTCAACCTGAATTTCACAAGTTGTAACTGCTTTATCATTCATCTGTCCCACTAGACTGCAAGATGCGTGTGGGCAATGGCCACATCTATCTTGTTCAGTGCTGTATTCTCAGCACCCAGAAATGTTTGAAAGAATAAGTGAATATCAGTAAGGTCCCTTGTTATGACAGGGGATGTTAGAAAGAAGATAATTAATCTCTTCTGGGATGTTAAAGGAAGATTAGGGATGAATTAGCAGGAATTCTAATCCCAGCAGAGCTTCAGAATCACCTGAGGGATATTTATAAATGCAGATTCGTAAACCCACATCAAACGCCCAGAGTTAGACTGTTCGGGAGCAGGGTCTGGGTATCCGTCTTTTGTATCACTCCCCAGTCACTTCAGCTTACTTGGCCAGGTTTGGAAGCCCCTGTGAATGTATCTGAGTCTGGGGTCCTCTGACTCTCATGTAATCCTGCGGCTCTTGGACATCCCTTCCCTCTTCCCCCTGCTTCTCTGCTGGGGCTTCCAGGCCCGGCCATGTGTGCGTTTGGAGCCGGGATGGAGGTCTGGTGCTGGTCAGGTTTGGGGTGTTATCAGCTGGGTATTTACTGAGCAAAGTTCAGTTAGGGCAGCGCTGTGGATCCGGGTTTAATAGATATCTGGGCTTCCGGGCTTTTGATTCAGAGCCCAGGTCCCTGGGCCCTTATCAGTGATACCATGTGAGCTGAAGGCCCAGTGCTACTTGCCTTTCTGGGCTGACCCAGGTCTGCCCTCCAGGGGTCCAAGGCACCAGGCTTCCCTCTGGGAGGGCAGACTGTCCTGCCCAGCAATGGCTGTCTTGGACTTGTTCTCCTGGTCGGGGAAAGCCCTGTGTCCCAGCCCCTGGTGCTTCAGTTTCCTGGCCTTGATGACAAAAGGCAGAGGGAACCTTCTCTGAGAAATGAAGCTGGACACTCTCTGGCCCCAGGCATATGGGTCACCATTGGTTATTTGTCCTGGGGGCCACAGAAAACCTGGGAAGCACTCACTGCAGCCCATTCTAAATGTCCAGGAAAGATGAAGGGAAAATGAGTTGGCAGCGCATTTTAAGAAACCATCCAACCAATTAATCAATCAATAACTTGTTAAGTTTATTATGGACATGCTGCTTGGGAAGATACAGAGAAATAAGGTATACTATTTCACCTTGGGAAGTTTATAGTCTAGCTAGGGGCATAAGAAATTATAGCAAAAAAGGAATTACTAATTATTACATAGCAGACTACAGATTTATTTGAATGTTTGTATTTGAATTCTGTGAAAGTGAAAGTGTTCAGTCGCTCAGTCACATCCAGCTCTTTGTGACAGCATGGGCTGTAGCCTACCCAGGCTCCTCTGACCATAGAACTCTCCAGGCAAGAATACTGAAGTAGGTTGCCATTCCTTTCTCCAGGGCTTCTTCCCGACCCTGGGATCGAACCTGAGTCTCCTGCATTGCAGGCAGATTCTTAACGATTTGAGCTACCAGGAAAGCCCCTAATTCCGTCTCTGATTTTATACTAAGCATGTACTGTGTGTGTGTGTGTGTGTGTGTGTGTGTGCTCACTCAGTCGTGTCTGACTCTTTGCAGCCCCATGGACTGTGTAACCTGCCAGGCTCCTCTGTCCATGGAGTTTTCCAGGCGAGAATACTGGAGGGGGTTGCCATTTCCTTCTCCAGGGCACCTTCCTGAGCCGGGAATTGAACCTGCGTCTCTTGTGTCTCCTGCGACACCTGGGAAGCCTGTGTTATGCTTCCCATTTACTGTGTCAGGGACTCCTTACGATGCTCCTTTGATAGGAAATTGCCAGTTGAGAGGCACAGAGAGATGTGCCTGTGACTCACCCAGGATCACACAGCTAGAAAGTGTCAGAGGCAAGTTTTGAGGCCCGTGGCTTCTGACTCAGAGTCCCTGCTCTTATGCCATCCTCTGCTGCCCCCTATGATGAATTCTAACCTGTCTGGAAGTGTTGAAGAGGTTGTAGGATGATGCAAAGTCTGTGGGTCCCGGTGGTCAGCTAGGAGGGTCGTAGTAGTAGTCTTGGGTCAGGAGGAATCTCAAGAGGTTGAGAAAAGTGAGAGGAACTTCTGACCTGGGGAGATCGCTGGTAGAGATGAGGAGGGGAGACCTTCACAGAAGGTGGAGAGGAGGAATCTAGACAGAGCTTCTGGTCCAACAGGCTCCACGTGGTGTTTAGTGTACAGAAAGTGTGGGGAATTGGGTTGAGATCTTGCTGTGGTGCTCGAGCCTGAATCGTCTGGATGGAGGGGAGCCTAGAAGGTTTGGGGCAGGAGGGGTGCTAACCCTGGGAGGAATGTCCTAGGAAGTCATGTGCGGTCCCGCACCTTCAAACGCAGCTTAGGTGAGCAGGCAGACCCTGGAGGAGAGCGGGCACCTCGGGCTGGGCGCTGTCTGCGCAGGGAGACGAGTACCAGTGATGCTGTCTTTGCAGCCACAGCTCCAGAGCAAACCCCGGCCCCACCCCGGCCGTACCAGGGCGTGCGCGTGAAGGAGCCGGTGAAGGAGCTGCTGCGGAGGAAGCGGGGCCACGCCAGCAGTGCGACGTCGGTGACGCCGACTGCGGTGTCGGTGACGCCGACTGCGGTGAGGGGGCCGCTGTGATCGGAGTGTGTGTGTGTGTGTGTGTGTGTGTGTGTGTGTGTGTGTGTGTGTGTAGGGGGTGGGGCGTGGTCCAAGGGGGTCAGGCGGGGTGTTTGTCCCTGCTCCATGGGATCCTCAGTGAGGGTATGAGGACCACACGTCGCAGAGGTGTGGCTGCTGGAGATTGGGCCGAGGGCAGAAGTTGAGTCACTTGAAGTGGGGAGAGGAATCCCACTTGGGCAGCAGTGGTCTCACACGTCCTGATGGGATTTGAGGGTCCCCCTGGCACAGGGTGAGACCTATTACCTAAGTGCACAGCATTCTTGCTCAAGGGAAACACCCGCCCCCTGGAAAGTATAGGTGGTGCTGGTTGGGTCGTGGGGCAGGTGCTTGTTCTGACGAGGGGGGTTCTTGCCCTCCATCCGCCTCCTCTGTTGCCCTGGGACCCTCTGGGCGAGCTTCCTGCAGACGGCTTGCTGGAGGTGGCTGAACCCTGCACCCCATCTTCCTTCCCCCCTCTAGGTGATGCTGCCCCACCAGCCCCTGGCGACCTACACCGCAGTGGGTAAGAGCTCCCCGCGGCCCCGGCCTCCTCCCAGCCCCTGGTCTGGGTGTCACAGGCAGCTCTGTAACCTCCTCCTTCCCACAGGTCCTTCCTGCCTTGACATGGAGGTCTCTGCCTCCACAGTGACGGAGGAGGGGCCCCTGTGCGCAGGCTGGCTCTCCCAGCCTGCCCCGGCCGCCCTCCAGCCCCTGGCCCCGTGGACGCCCTACACCGAGTACGTGTCCCATGAGGCTGTCAGCTGCCCCTACTCGGCTGACATGTATGTGCAGCCTGTGTGCCCCAGCTACACGGTCGTGGGGCCCTCCTCGGTGCTGACCTACGCCTCCCAGCCGCTTATCACCAATGTCACGGTACGTCACACGAAGGCATTTATGCGGAGGGCGCCCTTCTAGAACCTGGGCTGATTTTCTGCCTCTGAGCTTCCTTGCTCTTGATGCCCAGGATAACAGGTCATCTAAGCCCACCCTGTCCTCCAGGGCAGAGTGTAAGGTGATCTGACACTAGAGGCAGAACTCAAAAAACTACCCTGTAGGTGGTTCTCACTCCATCCAAAGTATAGTTTTCTGAAAAGTTGTGTCACGTGTTGCTCAGCCTAGAAATTTACTTACAAACCCCATTATTGGGTGAATGGTCCTGGGAGGCCTTCTTTCATTCCCAGTGACTTCAAAGGTCTCCCATACAAAGGCTGACAGCCTCCTTTATCATGCCTTATGCTCCCTGGGCTGGCACGCCCACCCGCCAGCTGGTCTGCCCTGACTCCCCTGCTGCCTGGGACACGGCGAGCCTCAGGGATGGTTCTCAGTTTTTCCTGAATGGGGAACCAGGTGAAGTTTGCATGGGGTCTCTTGCCAGCGCCAGCCTCTCCTTTCTACTCAAATAATTTAGGGGGTGGCTATTCACCCAATAATGGGATTTTTCAGAACATTTCTAGGCTGAGCAGCATGCGACACAACTTTTCAGAAAACTGTGTTTTTGATGGAGAGAGACCCACCTGCAGGGTAATTTGTTGAGTTCCACCTCTGGTGTCAGGTTGTCTGACACTCTGTCCCTTCATTCACTAGCTTTGTGACCCCAAGCGCAGTGACTTAATGCTCTGAATCTCAATGTTCTCATCTGTAAAATGGGAATACTAACGAAAGGGTTGATGTCATGATCGATGGCCTGATGCACCTAGGCTGCTTAGAATACTTCTTGGGCTCAGCCTGGTTTCCAGAATACAGAAAGCACTCAATAGATATGAGTTATTATGGTTGCCTCAGAGTTGACCAATAGCATGAACCAAGTGCTATCTTCAAGTGCTGGATAGGAAAGAAAGGGTTTGCTCCCCTAGGAATGGAGGAAGGAAGAGAAATAGTTTTATGTGAATGGTGCCTGTTTGACCAAAGGAATGGGAATCTCCCAGGTGTTCAGAGGGGAAAAGACCAGTGGTTACAGCCATATCCAGCACCAGTCCAAGGAAGGCTGTGGGAGGCAGAGCAAGGCTCTCGTGAGTCACTGCGGAGCCCATCCATGATGAGCTTGCTTTGGTCCCCCAGCCCCCTCTGTTTACCTCGAGGCCCAGTGTCGTCCTGAAGCTCCTCCCCTTCAAGCACCACCCAGATCTGGTTGCCGGACTCCTCCCCCTCCACGCCCACCCGCTGCTCAGCAAACCAGTGGTGGGATCTGAATGGTGGTGGATGAGAAGCAGTTCATTCAACACCCCTCCCAGGCAGCTCATTTCCATATTGGAGGCCTAGGGTGGGGGTGGGGAGTGGTGGACACAATGGTTCCCAACCTTTTCAGGATCAGGAATTCCTTTCATTATTTATTCTTTTCATCAGTCCTACCTCTTGCTTTGAAAAGTTCTGTGTATCAAACAAACCATATTTATTAAGAAATAATTTATTTGTTTTGCCATTCTGTAAATTAACTCATCAAAGCTGGTTAGAGCTAACAGTTTCCACTCCTGATCCGCAGGAGATAAGACCTGTGTGAAGGGTTGATGTAATTCTATCCCTGAGCCAAGAAACCTGCAGTGGTAGTTGACCTGCCCAGGTTTATGTAGGATTTCCATTTGGATTTTTTAAATACTAGAAGTGATAAGGTTTTGTTGGGAGGCCGAAAGTCCTCTGAGACCCTTTCCGGCTCTGTTATTCTATAGAAAAATACCCTAAAGCCTTGCTACTCAAACTGTGATCCTTGGACCAGCTGCACTGGTATCACCTGGGATCCTATTAGAAATGCAGATTCCAGGTCTGATCAGACCTCCTGTACCAGAATCTGCATTGCAGCAAGGTCCCAGAAGATTGAAATAAGCTCTTCCCCAGTGGTAAAGAATCCGCCTGCCAATGCAGGAGACACAAGAGACGTGGGTTCAATCCCTAGGTTGGGAAGATCCCCTGGAGTAGGAAATGGGAACCTGCTCCGTTATTCTTGCCTGGATAATTCCATGGACAGAGGAGCCTGATTGGCCACAAAGAGTCAGACGTGACTGAACACACAGTACTAATGACTCTAATAGTTTGTTCTCAAGACAGAGTGGCCACTGGAGGAAATGTGACAGTGGACAGAGGGTGATGGGGGAGGTTTTGGCCTCTTACACACACATCATTCCTTGCAAAGACAGCCCTCCCCTCCCTCCGTCCTCAGTGGCATCCAGGCCCTGGTTTTGGCAGCTTGAGCTGGGACTTGTAGGATGGCTGCCATGCAGGTGAAAGATACTGTTTACAGAGCGCCTGGGAGAATGGCCCTGACCTTTGGCAGTCCCTAGAAAGGCCTCAGGGGACCCAGCTAAGCAGCAGCAGAGGCTGAGGTAATGGGAAGCTAGAGGAGCTGAGCTCAAGGGGTCCTCAGGATCCCACGCCTGCTGTGTGGAGCCAGGGCAGTCTTTGTGTCTAGGCACAGCAGTGGCCACTTGGCAATGCAGCTGCTCTGCCGTGTGACAGGATTGTTGTTTAATACGCTGTTTTAAGATGCATGTCACCCCTCCACACACATATTTTGATATCTCTGAAATCTGGATGCATTTTCTAATCAGTGAAATCTGGAAAAGCATCTGTTCTTCGCTCGGCCCTGTGATGTCAGTCCTTTGGGTAATCTGTTTTACAGATGAGAAAACAGAGGCTTCAGTTGGGGACGTATGAGAGGGCATGTACCTAGTGAGTGACAGAGTAAGGGATGTGGAAGTTTGGCTTGGGGGAGGCTTTGCACAGGGGAAGGCAGAACCCTCTGGAGTGAGAAGCGCTGAGGGGAGGGAAACAGAGATCCTGCAAGGACCGGGGTGAGCAGTGGGTAGCCAGGGCTGCTAACCACCCTGCATCTCATCACAGACGAGGAGTGCCGCTGCGCCCACCGTGGGGCCCCCGCTGGAGGGCCCCGAGCACCAGGCTCCCCTCACCTACTTCCCGTGGCCTCAGCCGCTGTCCACGCTGCCCACCTCCACCCTGCAGTACCAGCCTCCAGCCCCAGCCCTGCCTGGGCCCCAGTTTGTCCAGCTCCCGATCTCCATCCCCGAGCCAGTCCTTCCGGACGCCGAGGACCCCAGGAGAGCCATCGGTTCCCTGACCATCGACAAGCTGCTTTTGGAGGAAGAAGATAGTGACACCTATGCGCTCAACCACACGCTCTCCGTGGAAGGCTTTTAGGGCTGGTGCCCACCAGAGAGCTTCCTGTTCAGCACGCTGTTTCCTGAAACGGATTTAAAAATGAGCCTGGGATCAAACCCTCAGATTCATTTCTGCTTGAAGTTGCCATTTCATAACAACACTTTCTACCCCAAACTAGAATTGTAAACCAGACTTTCTCCCACCCTCTCTCCCTTCTTCCAGTCCTCCCCATTTTTCTTACTCACCCTTTTTTATTTCTTTTTCCATTTCAGTTCCCTTTGAGGAAGGCATTAGGGATTTTAAAGATAAGATTTGATGGCAGGTGTTGCCTAATTTCTGTGGCCCAGGATTTTCACTTCTGTCACGTTCCCTTCCTGGAGAAGGCCCCTTTCTTCAATGCCCCCCGCTTCACGGTAGCCAGCAGCCCCGCTGAGCTGTCTGCAGGCAGTGACGTCCTATGCTTTGTCGTTTTGAGATGGATGGGGTGCCCTGTGAGAAGACCAGCCCTGCCAGCATTTCCAAGCGCAGAACCAACGCCGGAGGCCTTGAGTGTCAGTTCCCACAATTGCTCCTTTGTTTGCTGTTCTCAGCTTTGGCCGGCTCTACAGTCTAGGCATCAGGGTCTCAAGGCCTGGGGCTCAGCGAGGTGATGGTGGGGGCTGGGAAGGAACATCAGAGTGGGTAGGGGCTGGACCGGGGCGAGGGGTGGACATCCCGAGAGGCGGAATGGGGACTTGGAGTGCGTACATGGGGAGGGCGTGGGGGCAGGGGAGCATAGAAGGACTGAGGAATGGTTTGCTTTAATTACTTGGTTATTAAGAAGGGGAATGTTCTTAAGAAAAATATAGCTTTAATAGATGGTTTTGCTGCTCTTCTTTAGGATACTTGCAAGGCCAGCTGAGTTTTCGTAAACAGAATGATTGTATATGTCTTTCCATGTCCAGACCCAGCGGGGCTGAGTGCAGGCCAAGATCCACTGAGACCATGGTTACTGGGTCCTGGCTGAATGCTGCCAATGTGCCTCTTGAACTGCCATAGACCACCCTTGTGTGGAGACAAGACCTCCCCGCTAAGCACCATCCTTCCTGGGGCTTCTAGAGCCTCAGTCAGAAGGACGGCCAGGTTTCATTTCCATTTTTGTTTTTATTTTTTTGCTGGAGAAACATCAGATTTGCAGGGACCCGAGCATATATTTGCCACCAGGGTGCTCATCTCCCGACAGTGGCTGTATTCGTGGGAAACTAGCATTAGTTGGAGGACTCCATATAGAAGTAATGGACTCTTCTGGGGAGTGACATAGATTTGCCATTTAAAATAACATTTTGGAGAAAAATTGCCTTTTTTTTGGATTTTTTTCTGCTTTGGGTTTATTTTTGACTTAACTTTCTGGTATCTGCCTAAAGTCCCCAAAACAGATATCTTGAATTGTTTTATTCAGACTTAATTTTTTTTAGATTTAAAAGCTTAATATAGCATTTTAGATAACAAATTTCCATCTTCGTCGGCAGTGGTGTGAGTAGGTAAGAGAGAAGGGAGTCTCAGGCCTGTTTGATCAAAAGCCCTGGTTTCCTATAAAAAAACACTATGCAAGATTTTCCCACTTACTATTTGAAGCTTTGAGAACGTGCAGAAGCAGTCTCTGTTAGGGAGTTTAAGTATGCAAAACTAGCAAAGAAATAAAATAGAATACTTGACTTATTTGCTAAGATTGAAGATGTGTTTTTTTTTTCTTCTTTTCTTGAGGTCATGTATCTTGGTTGTAACCATCCATCTACGTTTCTTCTTCGGGTTTTCTGTTAAGATGGAAACATTTTCAATAAAGATTTGCTCAGACTTTTCTGTGCTGAAGCGTTTTATTTCTTATCAGATTAATCCCCTTAGCTTGCATTTCCACGTCAGCCAGTGCCGTTCAAGGAAGGAGCTTATACTAGTCTTGTTGACTTTGCAATGTGACCAGCTGCCAGGGAAGATAAGTCTAGGCCCACTCCCCTTGCAGCCCATTTCTCTCAAGCAAAACATGCAAAGCCAGGAGGCTTGATCTCCAGAAGAGTAGGGATCTGAGAAGACTGAAGAAAATCTTTTTAACCCTATTGCTCTTCCTCTTATCCGTGGTACATGAGTACCTGCTCATGATGGTGGGTGCCCAGGGATAAATCAGCCCCTGGCACTTCCACAGCAGGTTCTTAGAGTCCACCGATCAGAACCCAGGGACATATGACATGGTGCTGAGTGCTGTGCCCAAAGGAGGCCATCTATTAGGACCAGACATCACAACGAAATGGGATCTCTGGAAGCCAGCCAGCCTCCTCTGACACCAGTCCTTGGCATGTGGAACATTTTGGAGGGGTTGCCTTTTCCTGGTGATTTTCTGAGTTACTGAAAATCTCTGAGCTCACTGCCTTCATTGGTATTATTTACTGGGGTGATTGTCTTTTTTAAATGATCTACTTTATTCTGCTGTGTTGCTTATTTCCAGTTTGGGGGGACAAAAATACATCTAGTTATTTGCCTCACTTTAGATTATCATCACCATTGTCTTCTTTGTTTATTCTTCATGCAGATCATAGTCCAGAAAAAAGATCTACAAGGTAAGGGCTTTGAGGCTATTTTCTCTAGATTTACTAAGGTGCAACTGAAGGGGAAGACCTTTCACAAACACACTTTGCAGCCCTCACTCACCCCTTGTGTGACAGAAGGGTGAACCACTTGCACTATGACATGAAGAGAGTGACCGGTTTGGGGTAGACTGGTGCTTTACAGGATTCTGATTCACAAGGCTGTCCACTTGTAACGTGAAAATAGGGATCAAGGAGAAGATGAGTATGTGATAAGGTGAAGAGGCTGGACACGTGCAAAATCATGAAATTGCATGGCCGAGTGGCTCAATTCTCTAAACATTATTTTGTACCCATATGCAAGTGGAAGTTTGAAGATGTATCCTCAAGCTAAACATGAATTTTTGAAATCAGACATCTTAGATAACTTATTTTTTACAAACTTCCAATATGAGGCAATCAATAACTCCTCATCAAATTTAATTAATTTGAGAGATCATTCCATTCCATTTAGGAAATACTGAATGGAAGACTGCAATTGATTATAATAGATTCTCCTTTAGTAGACTTACAGATATGTGATGTTTCTCAGGTTTTTTTTAAATTTGAATGTTGGGTAGGAGCTTTTGTAAATTGGTGTTCCTAATGTGTTTATAAGTTTTTTCCAAGTACAGCTATGACTACTGTGGTACAGTTTAAAATTTTTAAATTTTGGTAAGAACACTTAGATTTATCCTCAAAGCATTTTTTGACAATAAAATATTGCAACCTTTATTTAAAATAAAACACTAGTTGGCAGGCCTTGTGAGACAACAGGCTGACAGCATTCCCATTTCAAGGGTCTCTATCCTCAACACAGTTTGAAGTTTACAACATAGCGTTGTTATCTGTAGGCGTGATGTGGTACATCAGATCTCTAGAACTTATTCATCTTGCATAACTAAAATTTTATCTCCATTGATAAGCAACTCCTCTTTCCCCCCTCCCCTTAGGCACTGACAAACACCATTCTATTCTTTGCTTTTATGAGTTTGATTATTTTAAATATTTCATGTAAGTATATAGAATCATGCAGTATTTTCCTTCTGTAACTGGCTTATTTCACTTAGCATAATGTCTTCAATGGATAAACAAAATGCATATAAATACAATGGAATACTATTCAACTTAAAAATCCTATAAGTGACAACATTAATGAAAACCACAAGAGGTAGTCATTCATTTACTGAACATTTTTATCAAGCGCCAACTCTGGGATACACAGGCATCATGAATTATTACATATTTCTGTTTTGAAAAAAAGTTTTCCATCTTGGTGATTCCAAAAATAGAAATTTAAAGATGAGGTAAGTATAAAATAGATGATTTTTAACTTTTATTTATTAATGATATAAAGGTACTTTTGACCTCATTTACTATAAATAATATTTAGAGGGAGAAATGTTATTGAATATGTCTAATTGCTTTAAAAAATCTTTGTAATGTACCAACTTGAAGATCTGGGTCTAAGTTCAGTTTATTTCAATACCTTTTGAATAGATATCATAACTGAAAAAGATACCATACAAAGATATTTAAATCCAAATAAAAATAGTATGTACTTGACTATGCTAAATAAATTACAGAACTCATTTCAAAATCAATTTTGCAAAGACAATTTTATTATATTTTCCATTTAAAAAAATCTAATTAATTCATTTTAATTGGAGGATAATTTCTTTACAGTGTTGTAGTGGTTTTTGCCATACATCATGAATCACCCATGGGTGCACACGTGGCCCCCCATCCTGAATCCTCCTCCCACCTCCCTCCCCACCCCATCCCTCTGGATCGTCCCAGAGCACCAGCTTTGAGTGCCCTGCTTCATGCATCAAACTTGCACTGATCATCTATTTTACATATGGCAATATACGTGTTTCAATGCTATTCTCTTAAATCATCCCACCCTCCCCTTCTCCCACATAGTCCAAAAGTCTGTTCTTTACATCTGTGTCTCTTTTGCTGACTTTCATATAGGATCGTCGTTACTGTCTTTCTAAATTCCATATATATGCATATATACTCTATTGGTGTTTCTCTTTCTGACTTACTTCATTCTGTATAATAGGCTCTGATTTCATCCACCTCATTAAAACTGACTCAAATGCATTCTTTTTTTTTTTAATAACTGGAAGTGGCAACCCACTCCAGTACTCTTGCCTGGAAAATCCCATGAATGGAGGAGCCTGGTAGGCTAGAGTAAATGGGGTCGCAAAGAGTCGGACACGACTGAGCGACTTCAATTCACTAACATCCCATGGTGTACATGTACCACAACTTCCTTATCCATTCATCTGCCTATGGACATCTAGGTTGCTTCCACATCCTAGCTATTGTAAACAGTGCTGCAATGAATATTGGGGTACATGTGTCTCTTTCAATTTTGATTTCCTCAGTGTGTATGCCCAGCAGTGGGATGGCTGGGTTGTATGGCAGTTCTATTCCAAGTTTTTTAAGGAATTTCCACACTGTTCTCCATAGTGGTTGTACTAGTTTGCATTCCCACCAACAGTGTAAGAGGGTTCCCTTTTCTCCACACCCTCTCCAGCATGTATTGTTTGTAGACTTCTTGATGGCAGCCATTCTGACTGGCGTGAGATGATATTTCATTTGGTTTTGATTTGTATTTCTCTAATAATGAGTGATGCTGAGCATGTTTTCATGTGTTTAGGCTTCATTTTAAAATTTGGCTAGTAAATTTCATCTTAGCTGATGTCAACTAGTCTTGCAAAATCATTGAAGATGTTGATTTTTTATTATTTAACACATTGAGTAAAAACCCTCAAACTCTTTATTTGGAAAATTTTAAATAGACTAAAAATTTCCATTTCTACTTTAAAAAAAATGTGTAAAGATACAGGTGACACATTTAACTAAATTGTTGTTAGCAATAATATTACATAATGGTGGAATCATTCCTAAACATCCACTAGACCTCACATTATAAAGTTTTCTCTGTTACTGAATTTCTAAAAGCATTATTAAAATATCATCTATACCCTGATGGCTTGGATTAAATGCAAATTGTGTTTAAACTTTTAAGCTAATTTTTTTTTTTTTTAATTTGCA